ATGAATAAGTATTTAGAATAATTACCAGTGAAGGGCTTTTAATTGGTTCCGTTAATTTTAACTTTTAATGATATTAATGTGGATCTGCATATTGTCTTTGTTACAATTCATCTTTCATGGTCTCAAGTATGCTATATGCTTTCAAGGACAGCAAATTTCCTTATAAAAATAGTTATGTGCTTCTATATGGAAGGTAGTCTGGTGTGAGTGTCACAGCATTCTATATGCTTGATGATCGAGATGATTCAATTTAGCGTCCATCTATAAATTCCAACACGCAGGTACTAAATCACCGGTTCTGAACCCCTTGTGTCTCTTTATTGCCGTCATCATAAAGTTGTGATTTACGTCTGTCATTCAGACTCTATTCATCGGAGCATAAATGTTTCTCAAAAGAACCTGGAGAAATATTGTCAGCAAATCTGAAACCCCTCAGCGTTCTATCTTCCTTGGCTTGTGCATTATCCATTTCTTAAATCTGTATAGCAGTTTTATGCAACACGTTCACTGTGTCGAAGATTGCATTTCAAATAAACGTTTTTCAATCGACTTTCTACGGCTATAAATTGTCGATTCATTCTTAGCATATTTTCATCCACAGGAAAGTTAAATTTACAATTCATTTATCTATTTTAATAATTTGTTCTCTGATGTGGCCTCATGCGCCATTATCTTAATTTGATGCACCGTTACTACATAGTCAGTTTAACAAATAATACGAACACAGGAAGACATATTACCGTTTCCGTACAGATGAAGTCTGCTTGATCTTATTGCCTCAATACAGGATTCACGTTGTGCTTATATGAGTTGTGTGTAGGGATGGAGTTTTACTCATCAATCTAACTGTTCATTTGCGCATTACCTGTTCCCCAACACATCACTCGACGTGAAACCATCATCAGCATGAAGATTTATGTGTTCATCCATCATTTCATCACAATATGACACATATACACATAACCCCTTTCGTTAAGTTACATGAAATTAATGTAGGAAAATCATTGTATTCAATTTTAATGCTAGAAACGGTATGCCCAAGGGAAAGTTTTCTAGTGTAAGATTTGAGGTTTTCACAGCGGTGAGTATAAAGATTTCTGTGTTCTGGGTTGTTGCGCTGTGTAGTCTGGTCGATGTTTACCGACGTTTCAGAGGTCATACTGCCTCCGTCATCAGGGCGATGAGTGTGAAGAT